TTTAACAACTGAGGGAAATCACCTTCAGAATGACCTGTGTGAGATATGCCTCATAATGAGGACTCCTGCTCCTGATCAAGGATAGCACTCTGCTGTTGTTAGGTATTAGAAGGGACATTTTTACACCAGAAGGAAAGAAAAAGACTGTATAAGCATGAAGCCTGCAGAAAAGTGGTATAGTGCAGACAGATAGAGTTCATAATCAGACATTTCCTCAAAGAGAGAAAAGAGAAGGGACAAACGGTATTAGGAGAAAGGAACAGGGAAGTCAGTGCTGGCACAGGACTGGTATTGGTCATGTTCAGCTGCTGCTGCTTTGGCACTTCTGCGCTGCCTAGCTAGGGAGGTGTTAAGGTCACTGCAGAGTTTCTTGAAACTGAAGGTCTGTTGTGGCCACCAGTGCCTGCTACCTTCTCTCTTCATTTCCTCCAGAGGCTTCAGTGCAGTACAGTCTCTTCAAAGTCAGCGTGCACCCAAGCTGCTATGCAAACAAACAGGCTCCAGCCACCTGGCAACTGGAGCACAGGACAGAGGATGGACGGTCTCTACCTGTCCAGAGACTGCAGAGAGCTTGAAACATGCAACTTGGAAGACAGGAAAGTTACCACTAACCCTTGAGATGCAGAACCACAAGGCAATACGCATGCAACAAAGAGAAACAGATATATTCTTATAAAAATTTAGCATTAGCTGCCAAGATTAATAGAATTATCACATTTTTCAATCTCACAGGAAGATGTGATTTTAAGAAGTACTGGATTTACCGTGCCCATAATGTTGATTTGCACATGAGCAGTAACATACATGCAGTGCAGCCCATAAGCACGTATATGAATGCTTTAACTATGCTGTGGATGGGCAGCACATCTAATTCATAGAATCACAGAATCATAGAATGGCCTGGGTTGAAAAGGATCACAATGATCATCTAGTTTCATCCTGTGAAATGATCATTCTAGTTTGCTCTGGACCTCATCTAAGAGCTCCATGTCCTCCCTGCACTGGGGGCCCCAGGCCTGGACACAGTACTCCAGATGGGGGTAATTCTTCCAGAATGCTTCAGGTTCACTGCAGATCAGATACTTATAGGAATTTTAGACCTGAGCTAGACAGTTAGGGGTTCCTGAAAGCCTAAGATGCCAGATACCTGGGTGGAATCTTCTACTTTCCCAACCCACTCAAGACTTCCAGGCAAGAAATAAAATAGAACTACAAAAAGAACCACCTTTTTTGGGACCTGGGCACATGGCAGCTATACGCACACAACCCATGATGCCCTAAGCTGTTCCTACCACTAAGAATGACAGAACAACTTAAACATAGAAACCCCTAGATAAGAAAATTGAAAAACATTGTTTTCAGCATTTAACCCAGTTCAGGGAGCCTGTCAACAAAACATCATTTCTTGATGAGCCTGAGCACCTTGGCTAAGAAGTGAGGTAAGAAGTATTTGGGGCATGTTAAATGACGAGAAGAGCAGAATCCTTTGTTTCTGACTTTAATAGCAGTCAGAATCTAAGCCGTCTGGTATAAGTTGGAGTGCCATTCTAGCTTCTGACTGATGACAGAGAAGCTTGCTTGCCTACCTCCCTCAACCAAGTTAGATAAATCTGTCAAAAGATACAAGGAAAAAAAATGCAGAGCTAGACTGGTTGTGTCTTTAGCTTTCAGAAAGCTGTCCTGAAAGACCAAGGAGCTAATGAAACAAAAGTTCTGGAAAAATACTGGCCATGTATCACCACTGAATGCTTGCCAACACACTGCCTGTATGAGTTCTAAAAAATGAACCTGTGCAAGGATGGCAGAATCCAAGCTGCTCACTGAAAACACAGAAATCTGTACTAATTAGAAAGATTTCTCTCTCATTAGCTTTGGCCCAGGTCATGGAGATTAAGTGATTTGCAAAGCCCAAAAAAACTCTTTGAGGATAGTTTCAAAAACAAGTGAGATACCAGTGCAGACTCCAGTGCCAGAAACTTCTAGGAAAGCCTGCCACCCCTATTACTGGTGATTATGCAACTCTTTGCCAACAGTACTCAGAAATTAGTTTAGGTTCTGAACAATAAATTTTGTTCTCTTAAACACTATTTGCTACCTTTATTGTGCAACTGAGAATGTCTTCAGGAGCTGACCATTGCCACATTTCTAATAAGGTCTTAAATTCAATGTCAGGAAATCAGTTTTAATGGATAATAAGAAATCACTGTTATTTTTGTTGTTCTTAGGTTACGTTATTAATGTTATGATAAAATCATATGCAGCAATCTTAAACACTTTCCTTATAAAGTGCATAACTAACCTGTTCATGTGGCTAAGGCAGAATGTGAATAAGTAACATTCCTTACTGACAGAGCAAGAAGCTGAGACAGATAGGAATAAGACCTTCAGGACTATGGTTAAAGAAGGGAGGAGGTTTGGCAGAACTGGAAAGAGCTATAGAGGATAATATAGGCCAGGCTACAGCAAACATGGCAAAGGGCCTCTAGCAGCCATGCTACAGAAGTCAAAAGTGAACCCCTATGCAACTTGGAACATCACACCTCTTGTACTTTCTTCATCTTGGATGTAGTGAAAGCCTAAACCTCAGTCTGACTGGGAACAGAGACAAAGCTTATAGGAAGTAACTAAAAAAAAAAAAAGTCTTAAAAGGGACAGTGCTGTAGATTTATAAAATAACATTTTAACATATCCAGTGTTGTTCTCTGTCTCAGTATTACAAACTCAAGATTGCCTTTGTCTTTTGGCAGAGCTGACTATTAATTTGGCAACTCTTCCATAGAGGCAACATTCAACCAAAAAAAATGGAGAACTAACTTCTGCTCAGAGAAATTTAGATAACTTGTACTGGGGGAGCGGAAATTAAGGAGAAAAATTTATTAATAGCCTGAATCTCATAGCTCACGAGTATCACAATAAAATTTTCAAGCAAAACTCAGAAGCAGCAAGATGGCTTAGTTATACCATACAGCTCTGCAAAAACTGAGTAGTGACTGAGTTTCAGAGGCAGATGTTTGAACTGGAGCCAAATGCAAGCCAGATAAGAGACCCATTGACAAAACATTTCCATCCTTGCTAAATTCTACAACTGCTAGACAAGAACCTCAATGGAAGAAAACAGGAAGCTTTTCTTCACATAGTCATCCAGTACTGAGCACAGGCTGACACTCATTAGGTGACCCTCTGTGAACTGCTGAGCTCCAGTGTAACAGACTAAGCAGCAAATTAGTCTTTTGAAATACTAGCTATTTCAGTATATCATGATCTTGATGCTCCTTTTGGAATTCTTTCATTAAAAGAAAGTTCACAGCCCAAGTAATCCAGCATTGTCTCAGCATATTTTTTCCCCGTATTCATGAAAAACTTCTAATTTCCAATATTCTGGCCATTTTAGGCAAGCAGCAATGAAAATAAAGTAATTCAGCAAAGGGTCTTATGGTATCTTTCTGTCTCTTGGTTTGAGAATAGTAAGGATGACTTAAGTACTGAAAAACCAAATGTTTCATTAAAAGTTTGACAACAGGATCTTATACCAGGGGCGGCCAGACGCTTCTGAAGAACTTTTGGGTCCCTGTATGAAATAGAACAATTTCTACAGGCATTAAGCTGCACATAGAATGCTAGATGAGGCACAGCTCAGAGTGGAGCTCTGGACATTAAAAGCTAGGTTGTCAGCTTGGCAGGTAACAACATATAACAGAAATGGCTTCAGAGAAAGGTGGTAACTACTGTGCCTTCTGTGGAGATTCACAGAAGATTATGACTGTAATTCCTTTCCAACTATGTCTGAATCTATGCAAAGGTGCAAGTAGAATTGAGAAACAAACAGCCTACGATAGCCTGCACTCTGCTGCTCCTTCAAACTGTGTAGGAAGGCAGCTTACACCTGTTGGATAGGTTCTTTATTTGGATTAGGTAATAGCTACCCTGGCTGGTCTCCAAGAGCAGAATCACCACCTCTCTTAATAACTGCAAGCCCCAGAGGCAAACATTGTGCTGGAACAGAAACAGGCCAGGAATTCATTTCTCACACTCCTCTTCTTTAGGCAGGACGAAAAGCAGTGACTGACGAAATAAGAATTTTTCTTGAGCTTTCCAAATTCCATTCCAATCCTTCTATTGAAGAACCCGTTTGGGAAAAGATGACCACCCAGGTCACATGTTTTCTATACTGCATATCTGCCTTTCTTACCTTCCTCCATTTTCCAGTAATCAATTAGATGAATTGATATTTTCACCTGTACATTGTTTTCTAGTCCTAAATGCATGTTGTGGAAGTCCTGCCTCGTTATTGAATTTAAAAGGACAAAAAAGCACTAGTAAATGAAGAAATCAGATATCTTAAGCAGTTCTGAGCCTGTGTTCAGCCTAGACTTCTGCAGTAGGCTCACCTTGCTCTTAACTTCCAAGATCTAGAATCCTTGGGATAAATAGCTTTTTTTTTCCTGCAGAAACACAGCTTTTTTTTCCTGCAGAATCACAATTCTCTGAGTCCCATGAGTATATCAGCCACAAATACAAATTCCAATGTCTAAAACTAATAAAGAGCAGAAGGAAGCCATCTGAAAAGGAAACTTAATAAAACACTACAGGGTACTGCTCTATCTTTAAACAATAGAAACTTGATATTCAAAGAAAAAGCATGAAGATGAGTCCTCGGTGGAGATTTCTACAGCATCAGATAAAAGTCTGCATTCTGCTTATGTCTTGACACCAAAGCACCCAAACTTATAGAGATAAGAAATAATCAGAGAAGAGAAACTGACATTTCCCTTTTCCCTCCCTTTCCATGTGTTCATCTATTTACTCATCTCACCATGAAACTGCTGGTACTAGGAACACAGGTTAGTTCTCATGAGCCTAATTCCTACCGTAGTCCTGAAAAGAACTAGTATTTGGCCCTTAGGCCAAATCTTCTGAGCAAGAGATCAAAGAAATTATGGGTGAGCTTCTGAGTACCATGCACTCTCCTTCAGAAACGTGAAGCATCAGTTTTAACTTACCTGACTGCTGAAGAGATGCATCTTCTGTCATCTGTAAGAGTGTCTGACTGAACAGCCCACAATGGCCCTTTTCTGTTGAGCGCTGATCGGTAGCTTGGACCCACAGCTGCATTCCCCTTGCCTACAGCTCCACTTGCTAAGTTCAAGCTTGTTAACTGTGGAGGCAATGACAAAGACATCAGAAACCATTAAAAACCAAGAAATGAGCAAAAGATGGCACTAAGCATCTGGATAGAGTATGTACTAAGGTAAGTAAAAGCACAAAGGAGGAAAAAGACAAGAATAAGGCAAAAATCCTAAAGCAAGAAAACACATTCTGCTACGGAACTGACAACAAGGATACAGTTAAAAAAAAAAAAAAACTACATTAAAAAATTAACTCTGCAAAAGATAGGTGCTTATATTGCACTTTCTGAAAAGAACTCAGTGTGTCTGTCGAGTCGTCACAAGTTGTGTCATTGAATAAGCCATGTGCACTCTGTCCTCTCTCTACCCTACTCCACAGTAGATGCACAACACATCAACATATGCACATCTGATTTAAAACTCAGTATCTAACTCTACCACACACAAATGAACATTTCCATCCACACCACCTTCAAATTGGTCACACAAGTAGCTATACAAAATAGTCAACGATAGCCTAAAATCATATTTGGTATAAGTTTGTTTTATTGAGCTCTAAAGAACTCGTGAATTTGTTTTAAGTATCTAAAACGTATTTCATTGTTTCTTTCTCTAAACATTCTTCACATGTCTTCTGAAAGGATTAAACTGTGAGCATACACAGCCTGCTGGTCTGCTGCAGAGAGCCTAAGTTCATACAGTAATGGCATCTATTGCAGAAGTTTAATAATGCATCTTAAAATATTTTATGAATGTTGCAAAACACTATGAAGGCTGATGGTCTTTAACAATGTGATCACATATTGCTTTTTTAGAAGTACAGAACAACTGCGCACTAAGATTAAGGTCATATGGTAAAGGCAACTTGTTTGTATTACCCTGCTCATTTCTGGGGCAACTGAAAGGTGTGTGACCAATGACACACAGGACAACTGGAAAGAAGGACTGAAAATCTAGCCCTGCATCTGCTCCAGATCTCAAAGGTAAGTTATCTAAGTGTAACTTAAGTTCTTATAAATGCATAAGCATAGCTTGCAAATTCCCAGCTTTGCTATCCTAACAATGCTCTTTTACCAGTATTTGCATGGAATTACTCTAATTAAAACAAGTATATACAAGCTGCATTGAGTGATGCTGCACTCACACCTACAACAATCTTATGGCAGAACTGCACAATCCATATGCTCTGATTGAACTCTAGAACATAAACTAACATGGTAACTGGCAACACAAGATGATGTCACCCTTTTAGTAATTTAGTACTATAAGGCATTTAGCCACTTCCTGAATTCAGAAAACACCTACTTCAAGTTCTGCACAGAATTAATTTACTGCAAATACACTGTTTTTCTGCCCAGTTCTCCAAAAGGATCCTCCTTCTACCATATTCTTTCCCAGTTCTGTCCTATCCCATTCTTCCTTCGGTCTGTGCATAATTCTTCTCATCCATTAAGTCACAGTTTCCAGGTCTTACAGCAGAACACGTTGGGCAAGCTCAGAAATGAGTAGAAATGTGCTACCCAATTCACGTGGAAAAGAGCATTAGAATTCACTTTGGCCCCTCTGCTACGTCCTTAAATTTAAGCCTTCTGCAGACTTTATTATTTAAAGCCATTTCATTGCAACAATAGAAAATATCAAATCAGTACTAGGTCTTATAGTGCCAGACACCATACAAATACGTAACAATGACAGTTTGTGGCCACCAAGTTTTTATAATCAGAAAAAAACCAACCAAGAATAGTAAATGAGGCAGACAGAGGCCAACATTGTACATGAAACAAATAGTATATATACAATTCTTAGCTCATCAGCAACAGCAGTCACAACTTTGCTTGTAAAGACACATGTTAAACTACAGTGACTATCCAGCCTTTTCTCCCCAGCATTCTGATACCAAGACACATTGAACCTGATGAGTTACCAGCTCATTCCTGCTCTATTAATGTGATACGCTTTCCTCTCTAATATTATAACCACTATTTTTTTGAAAGCTGTCTTTCTAAGCAAAGCAGGTGAGCAAATAGTTTCATGTAGGTAAAAGGGATGTTTCACACATTCCAGAGAGACAGGTGTTTAAATTACAGCAGGATTAAAGACAGGCAAGGGATTCAGAATGAGGGAGAGAACACCAGCAAGATAGTAAGTCTGGCTGTTGCCAGCCCACCCAGGTGGGTGTTACTTCTTATTACTGTGCCATGTGCTGAGACATTTCAGCTGCTGTAATTAGCTTGTCAGGATGTTGCTTGGGTGGGTTGCTGAGGGAACCCCAACACATCTGTGCACAGCAGTGGTTTCATTTTCCAGTTATTAACCCTCCAGTACACCTGCCGCAACAGAATCCTTCACACAGAGGCAAATACTCAGCAACAAATAAATTCTTTGGCTTAAAAAAAGATACTGTGTGGCACCTGGACAAAAACAGATACTGAAAGCACCATAAAGAATACCTTATAGCTTCAAAAATAGGAGTAGCAGGAAAAAAAAAATCTAATAAAAGTAAGGACTACTGTGGCTCAAAAGGAAAGATGTTAATTTATATGGATCTACAAGAAGAAAGTATTTTTTGTTTGTTTTTAATAACAAGTTTGAAAGTAAGCAATACACTTGCCTTCTTGACAGTAGAGATACATAAGTTTAAAAAACCAGATGTCTATGGTCTTGCTTAATTCACAGAAATGTTTTTCTGAATAAATTTAACAAAAGCAAAAGTCTCAACTCTTGTATCCACTACTTTTGGGTATCATTCTGTAGCCTTACTTAATTTAATTCTTGATCTTCTTTATAATTGAAATGGGAAATTATATAGAGAGTTATAAAGGATGGAAAAGACCTCTCAGATCATCTAGTCTAACAGTCATCTACCACCTATGTTACCCACTAAACCATGTCCCTCAGTACAACATCTAAACATTTCTTGAACACCTCCAGGGACACTGACTCTATCAGCTCCTTGGGCAGCCCATTCAAGCACTGACCACTCTTTCAGAGAGGAAGCTTTTCCTAACATCCAACCAGAACCTCCCCTGGCGCAACTTGAGGCCATTCCTTCTTGTCCAATTGCTGTTACCTGGGAGAAAAGGCTGACCTTCAACTCACCACATCCTCCCTTCAGGGAGTTGTAGAGGGCAACCAGGTCTCCCCTGAGCCTCCACTTCTCCAGACTAAACAATTCCAGTTTCTTCAACCACTCCTTGTAAGACTCATGCTTCCGTCCCCTCACCAGCTTTGCTGCCCTTCTCTGGACACACTCCAGGGTCTTGATGTCCTTCTTGTAGTAAGGGGCCCAAAACTGAACACAGTACTCAAGGTGTGGCCTCACCAGCACTGAGTGCAGGGGGATGATCACCTCCCTGCTCCTGCTGACTGCACTATTTCTGATACAAGCCAGGATGCCACTGGCCTTCTTGGCCACCTGGTCACACTGCTGACTCATGTTCAACCAAGTACTGACCAATTCCTAGGTCCTTTTCCTCTGCACAACCTTCCAGCCTCTGCCCCAAGCCTGTAGCACCACATGGGGTTTGTGGCCAAAGTGCAGGACCTGCCACTTAGTCTTGTTGAATCTTTTTTTTTTGTTGAATCATTGACCTCAGCCCAGTAATCCAGCCTGTCCAGACCCTTCTGTAGGACCTTCCTACCCTCAGGCAGATTGAGGCTTCCTCCCAACTTGGTGTCATCTGCAGACTTACTGAGGGTGCACTCAATCCCCTCATCCAGATCATCAATAAAGAAATTAAACAGGGTGGGTCCCAATAACGACCCCTGGAGTACTCCAGTCATGACTGGTCACTAGGTGGATTTAATTCCACTCACCACCAAACTCTGGTCCTGGCTCCCCATCCAGTTCTTTACCCAGCAAAGAATGTACCTGTCCAGGTCATGGGCTGCCAGCATCCCCAGGAGAATACTGTGGGTGACAGTGTCAAAGGCTTTGCTAAAGTCTAGGTAGAGGCAGCTGGGCCAGATCTCCTGGCTGTCCCACATGTGCCATGAAATGATATCTCCAAATAAAAAAAAAGGAAGAATGGAAACCAGCATTCTGTGGAAAAATAACCTTTTAGAAATCACAAGAGTCTAAAGAGAAACTTTCACATCCTTGATCTACATTACACTATTTTTTCAATAGCTTCTCACTATCACATTAGAGTACTTAATCTTTCCTTAAATAAAATGCTTTATTTTTACCTTGATCTTGTTTCAAATAGGCCAAAGAAGCAGATATTCTGCTTTTTTCAAAGTAGCAAATGTTAACAATTGTAATAATAAGTGAGCGAAGAACTCAGTGCTACAGATCAGCCTTCAAGGATTCAGGTAAAGACTCCCAAAAGGTCAAGTGTTTTTCTTATCAGTTTGCAAGAGTCAACCAGGGGACACATCACTGCTTGAAGTTGTTACTATGCCTCTTCTGGCAGTGTGGTAAAGTGACTTAAATATTCACTACAAATAGCATGAACAGCAGATCCTGAGTTTCACTATCACTGTGCTACAGCAGTGAGCAAACAACACAGTACAAAGATGCTTACTTCACTCTCCCCAGTTGACAGTTTTAGTATTTTTCTGCCAGAGGCCAATAATATCCTGTTGCCTATAAACGATGTGCTGAGGACAAAAGATCTACAGACTATGAGGCCATTTCTTCTATTTGGAACTACACTCATGTCTTCTCTATTTCACACATCTCAGGCTTCTATTTGGGTCATTCTGATTGGTGATGAGAAAAAGGAATCCTGGAGGTCAAGACAGTTTGAAGATCAAGACTAAGAGAAAGGCCAAAAGGATGCAGTCAGACTTTATAGTTTCTTCCAGAAAAGTCTTCAATATGATGAAAAGTTTATAATCTGAAACTGGAAGAAACGTAACACCACAGAATTTGGAGCAAAATATACACTACCAATAAGTTTTAAGTATGATTGTTTTAACAGTTCATTGAAAAAAAATCCTTTCTTTTAAAGAAAGATGGGACATGGATTAAGGTTAAGACATATGTAAGTTAGAAGAGCACTGGAGTTATGAACAGACCAGAGTC